TTTTCAAAGTTTCACCAAACTCCTATCATCTATATAAATAGATAATCCCATGTCTATCATTAGCTTCTTTTTTTTTCCTGTTTTTTTTTGGGGTAAAAGTGACAAACTAATGGGAATTAATTTGTAAACAATGTTAAATAGGAGTAATGTTATTGCATAATCATTTTCATATGCTTTTCTGGAACTGTTTCGTGATTATGTACTCAAATACAGTTTACATGCTATGCTTTATCTCATGTGTTGTGATAGGTGGCAGCAGCAAGTTAAAGAAAGGGGCTATGCTTTTTTGTGTATAATTTTGCAACCACCAAAGTACTACCTTATGGCTCCAAGAAATCAAAGCTGCAATGTTCATTTTCCAGTGTAAATGCGGCAGATAACAAGCTAACACAGAATTAGGTATAATACATTGCATGCCTGGATTTATAACTTGGTTAAACTAATCAAATATACAGCATTCCAAAAGCAAAAAGGAGCTTTATTGTATCCGCCGACCCACCTCTGCATGCTAGGAGAGAAGAAAAGAACACATTTTTGTGCTTTTATTTTATGTGTTTATAAAGTGCTGTGCTGGTGTGTGATTGGACTTGGACATTGAAGCTGGCATGCAGCCGTACAATAAGTTAGCTTTTGATTTCTCTGGCGCAGATTGTGGAGGAAATTTGAGAGAGTTTGAGGAGGAGGAGAGTTGGAGGGGGGGACCAATTAGGGTTTAGGGCCTAATGTGGGGGGTGGCATGTGAGGATATATGATTGCTCACACCACTATGGGCTGCAAAGCAGCATCATTGCAAACACCATGGTTAACCATCTCATAATTACATATTTTGTGTGGGATTAGATGATTTTTATGTGTATTTTGCACGCCCCTTATGATTGATGAATATTATTACTTGATTAATTATTTGAGCAGGGTTTAAGTTCAAATGTCAATAACCAATGAGACAACTGTATATCTAGTCCTTTTTCCCTCTCTCTTTGTCATATTGACCCTTTTTTGCCGCAGTAAATATTTTAACTGTAAAAGATAACACTTTGACAAACATAAGTAGGCTTTTGAATCCTCATCATAACCGTGTAATGTTAAATGCATGGCATTGTTAATTATATCTCTCCATGCGCTTGACATTTATTAACTACATTGTTAATTATATCTCTCCAATGTAATGTTATGCACGTCATATTTACTGATCACATTGTTAATTACATCTCTCGATGCGTAGACTTATTTATTTGTGGAATAAAAGAGATGATTAAAGTTACCAAATGAAAGGACATTTTTAATGGAGTGGATGGATTTTGACATGATAATAGGTGTGCTAATGATTATTATTGGAGGGATCTCACTGACCCACCAAGCAGAAAGAGAAAGAATCATCTGCATATTTTCTACTTTCTAATATCATGGGAGGGCCTCTTTTGATTTTTGAAACGTTATAGAACAAAAAGAAAAGCTAGTAGGAAAGGAACTAGCTAGGACTATAAAAACAGGCTTCTGTTCCTCTGTTGTTGATGTGCCTACTTCTACAACCAACCATGGCTGGTGGTAACTTGAAGAATGCAGTCGTAGCATTTCTGGCTCCCCTTCCCTCCATTATCTTCTACCTCATATTCCTCAGCAACAACCATCACCAAACCGATGGGATTCTCTCTCCTCTCTGGGCGTGGTGCTACCACCACCCTCTTCTCTTAGCCAATGTCCTCTTCTTCCTCAACGTCAATGTCCTCTTCTGGGTCATCAGCCAAGTTCTAAAAAACCACTGGGTATGTTAATGTTCGTTCAAAATTTGTTCTTTTTAGTTTCAGCTTCCGATTTGAACTGTTTATATAATTGGGCTGGTGCAGATGATCGATTTGTATTGGACTGTGATACCTGTAATGCTTGTTCATTACTATGGCTCTCACCCTCTGGCTGATTATAACTGGTGGCGCTCAACGATCGTAGTTTTGATGACTTGGGTTTGGAGCCTCAGGCTTTCCCACAACTACTTTAGGCGGGAAAATTGGCAATGGGGTGCAAGAGAGGACTGGAGGTTCACCGATATGAGCTCACAGTATGGAAAGCACTGGTGGTGGATTTCCTTCTTCGCCGTCTACCTCTCTCAGCAGGTAGTGCTCTTTAAGTGTTTGCTGAATTGCCTCAATGAGCTTCCAAGCTAGTGAAAAATGGCTGCTTTTTTGTTTTCTTGATGGTTCTTTTTAATCTTTGTAGGTTTTTCTGATTGGGGTATGCCTTCCAATGTATGTGATCCACTCAGTTAATGTGCCACTGAACATATGGGATATTGTTGCCGTCATTGTCTGCATTTCTGGCATTGTTGTAGCATACTGTGCCGACACGCAGCTCCATGACTTTGTAAGCAGAAACAACAAGCTGAAAGAGCTTGGAAAGCCAGTTGTCCCCAATCTTGATGAAGGGTTGTGGCGTTATTCACGGCATCCCAACTACTTTGGAGAGCAGTTGTGGTGGTGGGGACTAGTTATATTTGCATGGAGCCTGGGACATGGATGGGCCTTTGTTGGATCTCTCATCAATACAATGTGTTTAGCTTATGTGACTACTCTTGTGGAACGGCGAATGCTGAAACAAGATTACAGAGCAGAAGCATACAGGCGGTATCAGAAGACAACCTCTGTGTGGATACCTTGGTTCAAGTCATCCCCAGGAGGAAAAGATAAGAATGCTTAATTGATGTTTCTTGCAGTGTGTTATGCTTTGTTACTTTTTTTTATTTGTTTTTTTATCCATAATCTGTTTCCTTGTCTTATAATGTCCTATGTTCAAAGTTGTCATCAACTGGTATTTATTTGAAAGAAATGAATGCAAGTTGGATTTTATTTGTGACCACCTGTCTACCTTATAATAGTAACAAATTGTACAGAATTGTTCTGAATCTTCTGAAAAAAAGTGTCCTTTAACATCTGAAATCCTAAAAGCCAGACATTAGTTTAGCACATTGAGGAATTTCCATGAGATCTGGCTTTGTTCTTAAATTTGGTTGTGTTACGAAGAACTTGAGATCGGAGTCTATACTGTTAGATGTAACACCAGAAGATGAAGATGTTTGTTTGACAAGTTATTTAAAGTATCACCAAGATACGATTCATTCCAGAACATATTTCAATTGGGATGCATATGGACCCAACATGTGCAATGGAAGCCAGCAGGAATGAATTAGAAAAGCAGTAATAATCTCTATAACCAGGATATATATCATTTGCCTACTTTTGTGAAACTTCAAAAACTTCCATTGGTATCCCAGGTTACACCGTGTTTGAACTTTAACATTACTGAATGTCACTTTTTCCCTTCTCTAGGGAATCTTGGATGAACCATTGTGTTTCCTAGTTATTCTACTCATTTTAAACACTCATTTATTGGAATATTTGATGCAAAAGTGCAATCAGCTTTACCCACCATCACCTATTAGCTTTCTATTTTCAAATACATATTTGACTTCTCATGGACAGCTAACTGTTAGCTTTGTCAGTGTACTAAGAGACAGTTTCAGGACCCCTCCCCCTTTCTTTTCTAGGAAGTAGGAACCTTCTTTTTAACAAACAGAATCCCACAGGTGGATCTGCTGCAAAGGAAAAGGTATAGTAGCTAAAGTGTTAGCGGCTGTAGCATCCCCCGGTAATGTGTGGAAGAGTTGTCCTGGCATGTGCTTTAGCTACATGAGTAGTGGGAAATTATGCTAATGGATCATGATCTTTCTTCAGAGAACTCTAACTTAGAGGTGAAAATAAGATGAGCATCCCAAAATGATAGTTTCACTTTACCAGTGCTGTAAAATTAGTAAAATTGTTTGAAAGATTTTCTCTGTGTACTGTTTTAAACTTTAAAGATTAAACCTTTGAGTATGTTACATGTAAAGAGAATGTTTTACAGTGAGGTAATTCAATGAGTTTAGGCTTGTTAGGTCTCGGTGCTTTTCGGCCCTCTATTTGTCCTGCGAGAGCTGAAAAGCAGCTGGTATAGGATTCTAATTATTACATGTTTGACAGTATGATTGAAAAACAAAGGATCTTGAAATTTGCTTTAAGGAGAGATCTGTTCTTGACCTAGCAGTATTGGAGACCAGAAACATGTTGACTACGAAAAAGAAAACTTGCCTTATTTTAGATTGCCTGGCTAGATTCTTACCTCTCCTAACAATCATGCTATAAAGCATTTTGTTGCCCATCAGTACAAAGACATGCTGCTACCCAGTTGCCATACAGCACCTGCTTCCATTTGCAATCATATTGACCACCATGAGAGCTAACAGTATAACAGCTACAATACCCTACATGATGAGTTAAAGGCTTGCATAAATTTCTCATTGTGTTTCACAGTTGAACATGCGGAGGGCTGAAAGCAAAATAAATAGCTGACATGTATTGACCATAAATAATAATGATCATTCATATTCGCACTCTCGAGTTGCAGCAAGAAATCAAGACATATAATGAACTACCAAAGCCTACAAGGCACACCAAGTAACTATGCAACACAAGTGTTTGATTTTGATAATACAACACAGCTTTATTACTGTTTTCTAATAGTTTCTACAACAAACAATTCCACTCATCTATTTCAGCCAGAAAAAAAAAATTATTATACCGTTGTTTACTAAGAATGTGTCAAAGCAAGAGCTGACACATATTTACCGGACACTTCTTCCCTCCCTTGGAAGGTTACATTCCTACTTTCTACAAATTACAATTTGACATGCAAAAATAATGAATCAAATTATGATTGACAGTAATATATAGGTGGAGTGTAAAACTGTGTAAATATCAAATTGCCACATCAGCCATCAAATTTAAATTTGATGTTTAGTATTTGACATCTCCAAAAGTACAACAGTTTTCTTTTGTTATTTTCATTTTATAATATGGCTGGAAATTCCAATGAGGGACTGGCACGTGCCAGCAAGAAAACAAGCTTGTGTGAGCTACTTGCAGTGACACAAAGCCATGCTGATTAGCTCACTTTATGCTTACAGAAATTCTGTCAATTTTGTCTCGAAATATTTATTGTTAATTAAATTATACAGTGAGAGATATCTACCAACAAACAAATTAGACAGGCGGACAAGGGCGTAGAGATTGAAAGTTTTGTTTGATTGTTGGAGAAACGATTAAATGCAAAGTGTTGAATTTCTAATGGTTGTTTCAGACTCTCTCTCATATAAGTAAAACCCAACTGTGGTTCTGCAAGATGAGATTGGTGCATTGAAGATGACAATGAAGGAGGTAAAGATTCCATTTTTAACGGTGGTGGTAGTGGCGGCTTTGCTTCCCATC